CATTTCCTTTAATTACATTAGCAAAAATGTGGCAGATGCTGAAAGCTTTCGATAATACAGAGATGAAACTTGCTATACAGCCACAATTACCTTGTCAGCTTATTAAACAGACAATACAATGTGTTGGAATAGTCTATACAATGCATATTCTTATATAATTTCCCTGCATGTGATCATTAATATTGTCTTGTCTTACGCGCAGGAGAAATTAAAGGCCCCAAAGCGCTACATCTGCAAATTTATTTCTTGGGACAGAACAAATATCATCTTACATATTACTATTTGAATGCAATTGAGTAGGCAAAATATTAATTATGTCAAAACATAAATACACAAATGAGAGCTGGGGGAAGTTTGAGAATTTAGAACCTTTTGATTCTTTATGAAACAGAACTGCTTGTACTAGTAGGAGTTTTTGTTCTTTCCGTGCACACAAGCATGTGACAGTGTTCAGACGAATAGATGAAAGGTGTGTGTGGCCCTCCACAGAAAAGTTTTGTTTTCTTTGAAGTCAGAGGAAAAGAAACTGCACTCACATTAGAATTCTGCCCCATGTGTGTCTGGGTTTTGTTTGTTCATCTGCACACCTTGAATTGAAATGGCTGCATAGGTTTGTTTTGGTTAAATGCCATCAGTCATTAAGTGTTGTATTACTATACTGAGTTTAGATTTGTGAAAATCCACTATGCTTTGAACGACAACCAATAGAATGAAAAATTAAGAGTTATTGTAATATAATTATGCTGAAAAGTAAAATTTCCTTTTGCTTTGCATTTGCATCTGAAAACCCTCTCTAAATGTTATGTTATTGCACATACTGCTAACATTATGTAGAGATTATATTAGTGTTGTGTCAGGGCTAATGCCTACTTTATTGCCAAGCCTTCCTGAATTACACCATACAGTGACTCATACGAGCAGCTGTGCCAAGATGCCTAAAAATAATTATATACAGATCACAGCTTTGTAGCTTGCTAATTGATGTGTTTTGAATGGTTGTAAATGTACAATATAAAGAGTGAAGTCTGTCTTGTTATGGGAATTCTTGAGACATTTTGGAGATTGTTTCTTAAAAGGGGCTCTATGGAGTTTTCTTGTAAACAAAGTTTCTTTTTACATCCATACATACTTCCATACTTTGTGCATCCTTGAGGTCTGCACACTCAGGTCCACTCAGGTCAAACCTGAATGCATGGCTTTCACACTTATAAATAGAAAACATTTTCTTAAAAATAGGACTGTGTGTCATGTCACCCATGTTTGCTTATGCAAGTGCATACGCATCCTTGTGCATGAGAACAAACAAAATGGAGACCCTGTCATAAAAACATTGCTCCTCAGAGTACATTTTAACTTGCTTTGTGTCATCACATCCATCTCACGTGTAGGAGATAGGATGCATGTCTTGCTAGGTCCAAAGTCAGACGCAGCCAGCCCTTCATTTTCTCCCTGGAGACATAAGAACCAAATTAATTTTGCAGAACTCGTTTTGAGCTACTTTGGAAGAGTTATGAGCAGCATAATTTCCTATTGCAGAGAAAATACAGTATGTCTGATAGAGTTCACTGTAATGTGGACAACAGAAATTGCAATTTACATTCATTAATAAACATGCCCTGAACACTGACAATATAAATGTAGCCATTCTGACATGGACGTGTTGAATACCAATCATTTTCACTTGTAAATAATTTTAACGTTTTCAATTAATTTCTTGTGCATTTATGTTGACATGGATGGCAGAAGCCCAAAAGGTGAGAATAAAAACCAGTGCTATAACTGAGATGCCAAATCCTGTCCTCTGACCATCTGGTAAAATGGATGAAAATATTGTTTCCATAAGTAGCTACCATATGGTTACATCCCCACACTTTCCTGTACTCTCACACTCCCATAACGCTCTCAGCCTCTATTTCTCTTTCTCTTCCTAATTTTCTCATCCTTTTTAGCTACAGATTAGACACAGCACTCAAAATGTGTCTATCTGGCCATTTATATAGAAAGATAGGGGAACTCTTATCATCCAGTTGATGTTCCATTTGCTTAATCATGTGGACTGTAATGAAGCTGCCATATTTAGATGAGCTGCTTAGGGATGTGATAGAGGCAAGAGACATTTCTTCACAGAAGTCAGTCTTGCATAACCACAGTCACTTCTGCTTAAGATTGTAGAAGTAGTCAGGAGGCCACGTAAGTAATTTTAGATGCATTATCTAATAAAGTTTAATTCACATCTGACTTTTTACAGCTGCATAATGTCAAATGTACAATTCAGTACATTTCTGTAAAACAGTAATGTGCTTTAAGAGCACAGCAATCACTGCAGGGGAGAGAGAGAGAGAGAGAGAGAGAGATATCTAATAGTTGTGGTGGTGGCTCTTGGCTCGTACAGATATAGATTAAAACTAAACGTAGCACGTTCAGAATTGATCCAGAGAATAGGCAGTCAAGTCTTGGGAGCAGGTTTGAGGTTCCTGCATTACATTGTATACACAAAGACAGATTAAATCTATGCTGGTAATTTGCTAATTAGTGTTTTTATAAATGAACAAATTGATGGAACACAAGTAGAATGAAAGTGGAATCAATAGAGACCCACACAACTTAAAAAAACTTTCAAGAAGTTGTTTCTTGACTTTATAAGGGATTTTTTTTTGTGATATGACCATAAGTGGGAATACTGGTTTGTCCAAAGGTTAGTAGAGCAGGGGTTTATGTGTACACTAAAGTGGTACACACCGACAAATTTGCACCTGCAGACAGAAGACGTAGCTAAGATACAGAAGCTGGGTTGTGCTGTTCTGTGTGACCGTGTGAAAGATGTGACATTATTGCTTTTCTGGAAAAGTTGACGCACATTGACACTGGTGAATAGGACGGAGGTTTGTCATGAGTGATGATGCCTTTTAATATGCTGCCAGTGTGTGGGATGACATATTTAACAATTAGACTGTACACAAATGATTGGGGACCAATGCGCCATGTGTGTTAAACATATACAGAGGATCACACTAAGCCCTGACAATCATGTCTGTCATTTTTTTCACAAAATCAATCACAATCAACTAGCAAATAGAACAAATATGTCAGTTTTGAGTAACATAGATCTAATTAACAGTAATAGCTCTGGGGAAGGGCTTTGTTATTAAAAAGTGAAACATGCGTTTTAGCCTGTCTCCCCACCCCCCAATGATTTTGATACAGTCCCTAATGGCTCATCCAGAGTTTGGTTCTTTAACGGATGTTGCCCATGAAGGCTGTTAAGGGTGTAATTTTAACTTGGATGCTTAATTACCTCATATCTTTACTTCTTTAATGTCACATATAGGAAATGAAATGACAAACAAAGTATGTGACATCATCGGGACACTGCAGCTCATTGTTCTGTGTCATTTCAGGTGTTCCAGCTGTTTTTGTGGCAGTGTGGGCGATTGTCAGGGCGACAGTAGCAGATGCAAGGTGAGAGAGCGCAAAACACACTGTGTCTAAATGCAGGTCTACTTTTATACCAATTTGTTTTAAAAGGTCATCAAGTCTAAAGGATAAACTTGAATATAAACATGAAAAGATGCTTAATCATTGTGACAATTAATTATAAATAATTAGTAAATATTATAAGATATTAAAATTTGTGAATAAATGCTTCTTAGAGGCCTTTTTTATTTATAAGTTGTCATGTCAGGCACACTTCATGGCCAAAAGTATCTAAAAAAGTATGTGGACACCGAACATTACACCCAAATGGGATTCAACTTCTCATTTCAAAACCAGGGACATTAATCTGCTGTTATTACAGCCTCCACTCTTCTGGGAAGGCTTCCCAGATGATTTTGGAACCTAGCTGCAGGGAACTTTCTCCCATTCTCATAGTGAGCTGCAATATAGCCTGACTTGCAGTCTGCTTTCTTAAAGTTGTTGGATGGGGTTGAGGTCAGTGTTCTCTGCAGGCCAGTCACGTTCGTGCAGACCAATCTTAGAAAAACATTTCTGTTTGGACCTCGCTTTGTGCACGGTGGTAATGTCGCTAAAACAAGGAAAGTACGTGCCGCAAACTGTTACCACATGCTATTGTCTAAAATATTTTATGCTGTATGCTGCTCCTTTAAATGGAACTGAGGGGCCTTGATAAAACCATGAAAAACAGCCCTAGACCAAATGTATGCATGTATACATATTTTGGCCATTAATTGTATTTCAGAAATACAAAAGCTACATTAAATGTGTAGGTCCAGGATCTGTAAAGGACACCAGCAAACTGTTAGTTTAATTTGTACCATTATAAAGATCCACCTCCATTATCCATTTGCAGGAAGATCATCAGAGGTTTTCACCGCTGAAAAATTGACATGTTGAAATAAGACCTCCCTCTGCCTCTCAGTTGCAGCTCATAACATTTGCTATTTGGTTCACTGTTAATACAGTGCAGAGCTAAAAAGAAAGCAGAGCTAAAAGGACTTTGCCTTTTGGAGTAGCTGAACATACTAAATTGAAGGAAGAAACGAGAGGTCATTTCCCCCCCTTGTATTCAGGCTGCCACACCAAACTTTAATACATAAAGTTAGCACACTTCTGGTGATGTGTTACACTAGACCAAAGGTTCCCATTGAGCATATACTACAAATTACACTGACTATGTATGTTAAAATTATTGTCTCACAACAAAAGGATTGTGGGCTGGAACCCACTGTTCTAAATTGCCTATTGGAGTGCCTTTTTGTGCGGTGACCCTGTGACCGGTCCTGGGTGTTTCCTGTCAATGGGCAGAAAATAGCATTTCCGCAAGTCCTGGAGATTAATTCAGTTAATTTATATTCTGTTCAGACTGTTGACAGACCCTGGGTGAGAGGAAGTGGTGACATAATTTTCTATTATTATCTACATTTTGCAAGTAGTAGTTATATTTTAAATAGTGCAGCCTCTGTCAACCATGTCACAAAAAATGAAGGGTTAGTCTTAGTCTTAGTCTTTTTGTTTTGTCACTGCCTTCGTCTACTGTAAATCTCAACTTATTCTTTTTAAGCCGTCCTCTGTGCCCATCAGTTGCAACCCCTGTGTTAACATTTTTTAGGCCACATTATTTTGTGCTCAGGACCATGTCATCGTGTCTGCAGCTTTGTTTGTGTGCAAACAAGCCACCACAGGGCTTAGGGGAATTATGGTGTTTGCTTTGTAAACTGTGGCGAGAGCCATGCATAAGAGAAAATGGCAAACTCTGTAGCACACTTACTAACCCCCACCCCCTCTGTTCTCTTGCGTTACGCCTCTCCGCCCCCCCCAAAAAATAAAAAAATCTTCAGACTGACGCCACCAAATGCGCAAGACAACCGATATGTTTGCTACCGGGGCTGCAGTAGCTTCAACATCAGCTGTAGTACCTGACGTAGAGCAGACACAAGGAGTGAAGGAGATCTGTAGCCAATGCCAGGCAGAGGAGGAGGCGTGTGTTAGCGAGTAACAAAGTGACAGGGCTGAGTGAGAAATTGAGCAGGAGGAGAGAAGCCGTAAGCATTTCTTAAAAATGTTCTGAAAAATATCTTGCACCAAGAAATGTTAATTAACAAATAAAAATGCTATGAAAAAGGTTTATTTGCACAGTAAGCCTATAGTGCAATGTAAATATAGAAGAAAACTGTCGTCCAAAAAAGTAACTTAAGCTAAAAACAATAATAAGCTACTGATTACTGCATTATTTTCTATTATATTTTTATATTCTGAATTGTCACTTGCCACCTGAAAGTGTTTAATGCTCAAAATCTTCTAGGGGTGTGAGGGGTGTCCGACCAATTTTGGCCAAAAATGCCAGGGCCAAGTTTTTGTCCCAGTCCAGCCCTGAGCAGACCATAACTACCTTTTGTAAGTCATGAGACACATTAAACATGTAGTTAACGTTGTGAAATTGTCGCAGTTTGGTTAGGTTTAAGCAACAAAACTACTTGTTTAGGTTTAGAAAAACATTGGGTTTTTGGTTAAAATAAGTACATTACGTCAGTCAGGTGACGTACAGCATATCACTCGACTTAACATGTGACATAACTCACGTTAATCATGTGATGGAATACATGTAACTTATGTGATGGAAGTCAGTAACGCTATTTAACTTAAAAATCTAAATAACTCACCATTTGCTTGGTTTTACATGGGACTTGAAGGCCATTCTCTGGTGTGACAGTCCTGGGTTTGGTTGATCCGTCCATTCACCTCATCCACCTTCTTACACTCGTTTGTGATTCATAGATTAGAATTTGTGCACCTGCAATAAAGAATTTGAGAAGGTGTAACTGTTGTGTTACACCTTCTACAAGTTTGCAAATCCTAAAGATTTGCAAACTTGTAGAAGGCGTATTTTTCTCTGTAACTACAAATTAACTGATACACATGTGTGATTTTCTATAACTACAAATTCCAATGTCAAAGGTGCTCAATTGATACCTTCATAAAGTTGATAAAGCTTCACTCTCCCATTTCTGGATTAATTCCAACTCACCTCAAAATTTAGAAAATACTATAGCATCCATGAAGGTTTGGGAAATCTATGTGGGTAATTTTACTGTGACTCTCATGCCATTTCCCACATTACATTGTGTGATGTGTTTTTGAAGACCATGCATGCACACTATGCATAGTACACAGTCAAGCAACATTTGTGATAGAACTGCGTAATCATGTTTGCATAATCCCCTGGAGCATTTGCATTTTGGAAAGCTATGTTTGTATAATGATGCAAGGGTTTCTTTGAAGTTTACAAAACAAAATGGGTCACATGCAGAGAAAATACGAGGGACCAACTGCTTCTTTCAGTGTGACATTTTTAGCTAGAGAAAAGTAAAAGAGAAAATTAAAAATAAAAAGGGTAGACAATTTGACTCTACTTCAAGGTAAAACAGGCCATTAAAAAGACAAGAAATGTCATGAAATGGCAGTTTGAAAAGTGAAATGAAAACCTAAAATACAAAATGTTCTATACAGTATGACAATGGTTACATTTAAAATGGAAATTGAAAATGAAAGAAGATGGAACATCTATAATGAAAAAAGTGGGAATGATCAAAATACAATAATAAATAAAAAAAGGTCACTTGGATTGGTAATGTAGTAAAACTACAATTTCCAAATACCAGAGGAAAAGGATAAAGGATCTTTAGGAAACTGCGTTTTCTGTCTCTGTTTGACTGTGTTTTCCATTTCACCCTTTTTGCTATTCTTAGTGTCTTCTCCGAGATCAATTCGCTGATTTGTTTGACAAAAGAGTTTAAAAATTTGAATTGTTTCTAACCAAAATGTAACTCTAACCTCACGTTTTCTTTTTCAAATTGAACTTATTATTCTGTCTGTCTTTCAATGTGCCTCCACTATTTGAATAACACCAGCAACCTCCTTCTTTGCTCTACTCCTTATTTTCCCTGCTTCTCTAACTTCATGTTCTCGGATCCTCTGTATTTGTGTCTACTGCAGGTGTTGGGAGTTAAGTGCTGGCAATATTAAGTGGATCTACCAGGTTCCCATTCTGACAGCTATTGGGGTAAGAGTGTGAGTTTGCTATTGTGTGAAATTTGAATGTACAGTACTGTGCAAAAGTTTTAGACAGGTATAGAAAAAATGCTGTAAAGTACGAATTATTTCAAAAAAGACATGTTAATAGCACAAAGAAACAGGCTACGCTTTCAGAAAAAGTGACAAAACGTAGTTATTTGACGCCAAAGGTACCCTTCAGCGTCTCTGTGAGACACACGGGGTGCCTCACGGCCGATGTGCTAACAGGTAGGGTTAGCCTCCTTTGTGTTGCTGGGACGTAGCAAACGGTGGCGTTTCATACGGACGCTGAAGGGTACCTTTAGCGTAAAATACATATGCTTTGTCTGAAAGCGTCAGTTATGACGCATTGAGATGAACAAGGTGATGCAGCAGATGAAAGACACATTATGATTGTTTCACTTCACAATCTGAAGATGTCCAGCAGTGTCATCAGCTCAGAACTGCAGAAAACAGTGAGACTCTGGTGCACCCATCTACTGTCAGAGAAGTCTGGTCAGTCGTGGCTGTCATGGAGGACTAATGGCCTCCGACATGGAAACAAAGCAAACTCAACTACGCAGGGAAACACAGGAACTGGGGTGCAGAAAAATGTCAGCAGGTGCTCTGGACTGATATTTGCTATAGCAGAAGGTAGTTTGTTCACTGAAGGTCTGGAGAGCGGTACAAGAATGAGGGTCTGAGGCAACAGTGAAGCATGGTGGAGGTTCCTTGCAAGTTTAGGGCTGCATTTCTGCAAACGGTGTTGGGCATGTGGTCAGAATTAATTTTCTCCTCAGTGCTAAGAAGTACAGGCAGATACTTCTTCATCATGCAGTACCATTAGGGAGGCATCTGATAGGCCCCAAATGTATTCTGCAGCATGACAATAACCCCAAACAAACAGTGAAAATTATTAGAACAAGGAGCCCTGGAAATGAAGGAATGGCTCCCACAGAGTCCTGACGCAAGAAGCTGAGTCATTCTGTTCTCCTTCCTATTACTGTGCAGTCAGCTTTCATGATTTGTTCTTGTATTGTTGTATGATTACAAACTGCTTCCTTTCTGGTACTGTGAGACTAAGACAGAACAGATCTGTTGGACTTTTTTTAGTCATTTTTGATCATATACTTCCTGAATTAAACCAGGGAACTCTTTTACCTTCAGATCAGATTGTATTTTCGCATGTCTGCATGCACCTGTCCATTTGACATTGGGTAATATCTTTGCCTCCGATCTCTCTGAAGAGGTTTAAATGGAAGAATATCTGTTCTGTCTGACAGAGGAATTAAAAACCAGACTGATGCAGAAGGGGTGTGAGAGGTTCTCTTTTTAAAATGACATCCGAGAGAGAATTTTCTTCTATTTCATTTCATTTTTATGAAGAAGCTATCTGTATGTGTTTTTCTCTTGGTACCACACTTTTAGGCTTAGACACACCATCAGCGAACCACCTGATAATTCACCACAATTCAGCAAAACCTGGGATTACATTCATTAGCAGAATGTAAACATTAACGATGACGTTTCTCATATCTGCAGTTGCCATAGATAACTCTTTTCTGGTGGATACAATGGGCATAATAGCCAATTAACCAAACCCACAGATTTTTATCTGAAAACCGCCGCACAGACGGCTCTGTGGATGCACCAGTAGTACTAGCTGCAATTAAGAATGGCACCCAACAAAGGTCTCCCAGTAGTGCTAAACTAAAAAAAGATGGTGTATGTGGATGTGTTGTGTGTGTTTTTAAGAAGAAGTAACTGAATAATCAACGCCTGCACCGGAGCAGGGCCAAAAACCATCTGAGCACAATTAACTCAGAAGACAGAAAATGACCTCAGAGATGAACATGAACATTTTAATGATCTCTGGTTATTCTAAAAGGGAAGGAGCACACATAAGAAGTGCTGTGATACATTAGCAAAAAGAAAGGAGGAACATATCATTAAAGACTCTGGCTTTCCTTGTCTGTTGGGATAAACTATGCAGACATGGTACATGCAGACAAGATTTCTTTCTACTAAACAACCATAGATTAGAGATTTAGCCATGTCACCACAGTGTGTAAATCAAAGTGCCCTGAATATGAGCAAATAAACTAAATTAAAATATTGATTGTAGTATCTGTATACTATAAGTTTACTTTCATGTGCAAGTGTGCAGTGATGTCTAGAAAATGCTTTTTCTCTCAGATCTCTTATCTTCCTCTTTATTCAAATAAGCTTCATGGCATAAAAGAACTGTGTTTGTTGCCAATTTAAATCATGAAAAGCAATCAACAACAGTCTCTCTTTCTGTCTTTTACTTTCTATACTGTGCACAGCTCCTCTTCGGGGCTGAGGATTATTTTAGCATTGGAGCTTGCCATAAAAAGCACACACTAAGTAAGGGGATGATAGAGAGAGTTCTTGCTTGTGCAGAGACTTGCTGTGAGCATCACTTTTGCAAAGGCTCTGAATTAATGACCAAAGTATTGAAAGTGACACGTTTGAAGACATGTTGTGACTTGAGTCATCTGCTTCTATCTCTTCATGAGTTAAACTGCTAACAAGCTGTGATTAGAAAAATCTCCTGCAGATTCTAATCAGCGGCAGCATTGCCTTATCAGGACTAATGCGCTGCTGGCTCTAACATATCATCTCCTGAAGATACAGAGAATGTCGACCCACAGAAATAAGACCCATGCCTTCTTGTAGATTCAATTAGACAATCCACATGCATTAATGCTGTGAATTAATTATAATTACTAACTGACTGACTAACTGATCATTTAACAATAACAATTAAGTGGACCTAACAGAACAATGACAGATTGGTTTTTAACACTAGCATCTCTTTGGGTGGCAACAGCAGTTGGTCGCTCAGTTGGTCCACAACTTTGGTCCAGACTGAATGTGATATTTTTTGGTCCAGACTGAATGTGATATTTTTATCAAGTCTACAATTTTTGGATAAAATATTATATGGCCGACGTGCTAGCAGATACGGTCGACATGCAAACAATCAATAACTTTAGGCACACACCCCTGTATAGGGTAAGAGTGATATGCTTCGGGGGGCTGTCAGGAATAGTTGGCTAGCTAGCTTTGCCGGTAGACGGTTAGCTCCCCCAGGACCAGTCACACAGACCACTCCAGCCAACGCAGCAAACATGTCCAGCAACAGCTGTACGATAGTGTTAATGTTTGTACCGCTGTTATTCTATCATTAAATTCTCTGTATTGTTGTAAAGTTTTAACCTGAGTCAAGACACATCTGGCTCACGATGTACAGAATATTCTTGGTTTGTGAAACTTAAAATCACTTTGTAACAAATAAAATATACAACAACAACAATGGTATGAATTGAAACATTGCTTTATTATTATCATTAGGCTATTATAAATAAATATTGCAGGAATTATAGTATTAATATACTATAATAATATATAATTATAGGATAGTAAATATTAATGCATAATGTACACTGATTGCTACATTGACATTTTTCTAATTTAACGTCTCATTTAAAAAAAATTGCGTGGGCCGAGCGGCCGAGATAAACATCATCACGTTTTGTGCACGGTGGCTTCTGGGACAAGCCAGGCTGCAGCTGGACCCTTCTCGAGAGGAGAGGAGAATCCCAAAGTAAAACAGGAAACAGAACACAGACGAGACAACACGGAGACAGGAAGTGACATATAAAAGACACTAGAGTGAGGACTTACCAAAATAACCACAAAAGATCAGACTCCAGAAAAACTAACTGTGACAATTATAAACATTAGAACTTACAAAACATCAACTGAGTCCAGCTTCAACAGACAGCGACGTCCTTTCTGCTGACTTTTTGCTCACTTTTAAAGGAATGACATAGGATGGTTGGTTACACCGGGCCCGTGGTAACCCGCCTCTCATAATATCTCTTGCTTCCTGGTAAAAATCTGAGTCTGATGATTCAGATCATAAGCCAGTAACTAATCCCTGCTGTGTTTAATTAGCTACTCAACACAGCACTTTCACATTCACACTGTGGAGATTGGACAGATTAATGTTATTTTTTCTCAAAGCCTGTGTCAAAAACAATTTCACACTAGTTCACACTTTGTCTGTAGTGCCACTGGCCAGTCATTTGAATTTAAATGACCACATAAACTAATCTCTAGGGTCCCCTGATTGAACTTAAGTCATTGTCAGATGATAGCAGATGGATTCCCAGAATGCATTTCAACCAGTGTGTTCTGCCTCATCTGCGCTCCACACGGATTGTTTGCCTGCATGCAACCACCTGCTGCTCAAATGCGATTGGTCAATACTACTTGGACTACAAACCTACTACAAATGGAAACCAGTTTCCAATGCAAAAAATCTTCCTACAGATTTAGCATTAATATTTACACATTTGTTTATAGAGATTAAACATTACCTCTCAAACATTGGACAATAGCATTCAGCTTAAAGCACCGCTGTGCCTAAGTAGCCTACTGCCTCACAGAGCCGCTTGCATAGCTGTAGACTCTTGTTTTTATTTAACTAAAGGATGGTGTCGGAACTACAGCATGATATCGTGATGGCAGTAGCAAATTTTTTTAGGGTTTCTCTGCTGTACATGCACATGAAACTGTGCAATACAGCAGTATACTATTGATATTCCAACATGAATCTAGAAATAACGGACAATTACCGTGTGGTGATATAGCTTTATAGTCTTTGTAAACAGAGAGATACAATGTTGATATTTCGCTGTGTAGTTTGTGATGATGTTGATTTGTGATGATTTAAGGAAAAAACATATTAAAACGTATTATTCATTGCAATTGTATATGCATTGCATCTTTTGAAATAATTTTTGTCTGCATATGTATGTATGATAGTAATATAAGATGAGGAGAGAATAAAGAATGAACAGAAATTAATGTCCCTCATGTCAAAGGTGTGCAACTGAAAAGGAGCCCTGGATTTCTGTAAAATGTTTAAAATCCCAGCTCTTTCTGGCTTTTATTTTATCTATGTACTGATAGACTTGGCATGTTGTATTTGTACTCTGAGCTGTATTTGTTATTCTCATTCAAGCTCATTTGAGTGGTACTTAGGATTGAAAGGATGATGTAGAGAAAGTATCTGGCTGTGGAATACATAAGCCTCAATTTGCTTCTTTCATATTACTTTGCCTCAGCCTCATTAAAGTCTCTGAGAAGAAATCCCAGAACTTGGGAACTTTTCTTGCTGTTATTTAAAAATGAATTGACTCCACACTCCAACAGTTCAGTTATTTTATGGTAAAAACAATATTTCCATTAATATGTATTTCTGGACTACAGTCTGAATGATGGAGAATAGTAAAACACTAAAATTGTCCTCTGATTGGAAGTCCATATTTTGGGGGGGGGCGTAATGGTTGCTGTTACTGTGTTACCAGATTAATGGCATTTCACTGTCCTAAATATTGTAGCTTGATACTGATGACAATGAGGTGATGATTGGAAAAGCTCCAAACTAGGTGAAACTCTTTTTTTTTTATTCACAAGTCAGCAACGTGGAGAAATTTAAAGATGTTCAGCTTTAATAATAATTCATTTGATAGAATTGCACTAAGAATGTCTTTTGTAAATACTGATGAATGACTCTCGAAATCATTTTAATTCATATATGGTATAAAAGCCAGTTGTTAACAATTTAAAATGACTTATGACTTATTTTCCATTTATGTCAATTCTAGTATCAGGAGCTAAAAGCATGTACATTTACTGCATAAATCAAAGAGCTTTTCATCTGTGTTCTTCCGTTTCAGCTCAACTTCATCTTGTTTGTGAACATCGTTCGAGTGTTGGCCACTAAAATTCGAGAGACAAATGCAGGGAGATACGACACGAGGAAACAGTACAGGTTTGCACTTAACTGACTGTATCTATAAATCCAACCAAACCAATTTGGTTCACTTGCTGTCCAGGTTTGGGAGTTTCACGTAAAGTGTGCGATGCAGAATTGCAACAGTATGGCTTGTCAGTCTGTTTTTCCACATGATATGAAGCCTTCTAACCTCATATCATGTCATATCTGCTGATTCCCTGATTTCTTTCTCTAGGACCACCAAATTTCATCCATGTACCCCTGAACTTCAATAATGTAAACCGGCCATTAGGTTTCTTTTTTTCTTTTTTTTTTTTTATACTTTTACAATATGTAAGTTTTATGACCAAATACTTGTAGCAAAACTATCTACATCTAACTAACTACAGCTGTAGTTTGTGTTTATGGGTAATTAGCCGATGTTAACATGCTAACACACTAAACTAAGATGAATTAGCATTTAGCTTTTAATACAGCCTTACATAGCTTAATGCCATGCCTAGCTCTTATACTTCCCTTAAAACCAAAATTAAACCCTAAAAATGAAATGATTTATGTTGAGAGAACTAAACAAATGTATGTCCCCATAGCATCAGCAATACACGTTCACAAACAGACACACAGATATAATATGTCCTAGCATTTTAAAATATGCAATTATCACTATTATCCCCCCATGTTGGTGCTGGGATGAACAGTTAAAACCTTCTAATTGCAGTGTATTTTCCAAAAAGAGTGCCGGATTAAATGCTGCATGAGAGGTTGCTTTGTATAAATGTCAGAACAGATGACAGTGATCAGGTGCAGTAAACTGGAAACCATGCTGAAAGATAAATGTCAGTCAAATACAGAACACTGCATTTCATATAGATAGAAAAATCTAAGTGAAGTCAGGGTACTCAAAAATAGAAATGGAAAGTACAGAGAAAAGAAGTTTATTTTGTTGTTGAAAAAATGCAGGTGAATAGAAATTGCAAAGTCGATTGTTTATGTTAATTTAACCTAGCCACTAACAATATATATGATAGCTCCATATCTTTAGCTGGACCTAAAGCAAAAACTTGTTTTATTTTATAGCTCGGGCCACTCCCATGCCGGGAGGTCGCCGGTTCAATCCCCGGGCCGGCAGGATAAATCGTGGCGTGGAAAGTAAAACTAGCAGTGCTTACCCTGCCTCATTTACCAGGTGCCCTTGAGCAAGGCCCATAACCCCAACCGCTCCAGTGGAGCTGCTCAGTGGCCAGCAGACCAGGCTGTGGATGTGCTGGGCAGCTTCCAGGTGTGAATGTGAGCAGGGCCCTGCAAATGATAACTCTATGACCACAGTTAAAGACATTTGTTTTGCACTTATATGTAATAATTCATATCATGGTTTACAGTATTGTAAAGGTATTGTGAAAATTACATATTCATACCACTTAATAGGGTGATTATAAAAAGCCAAAACAAATAAGTTCTGATACATTTTAATCACACACCTTCAAGCTGTTTACCTGTGGAAGCAAAAGGGAGGAGGATAAAGAACATCAGCTAAAACAAGCTTGGAGTCATGCAGTTATGTTGCATATTTTAAGTAGAAAAAATGTAATTGCTAAAAAAATATTGAAACTGAGTTGAAACTACAAATTTTGTCTTTGATTACCTTACATTACCCCTGTTTACCTAGGCTGTACCTTAACCCCTTAACGCAAATTCGCATCACACCTCTTCCTTTCAGACTGCAGCAGAGATGTATTCCCCCAATGCCTGTTTGTGCATATTCAATACATACCTAGGAACCTTTTGCAAGCACTGGTTTATCGTTTTGCCCGTTAATTTGCATCATACGTACATTATACTTGAATTTATATCTTTTCTGTGTTCTATAGACATATTAACAATGTCCACTTAATTTAGCATCAGCTTGAAGGCAAATGAAAACAAAAATAATACATTTCACATATAATTGTAAATTCTAAAGAGGAGGAGACAGAGAACGAGATTACTGTTTGATGTCATGTTTTTTGGGACCGAATTTCCTTTTTCAGCGCTTCAAATTGACCATGAAAATGTATCCTATAGAGATTTAGGATTTTTGTTTTGCAGTCACTGCATACATTTATGTTAAAATGTATGAAGGCATTTAGAATTGTGGCCTGGTTGAAATTTAGTTTTCATTAGAATTAACTGACAACGTTTATTATGCTAATAGGAAATTGAAGTTCTCATACACATGTCAATTTAGCGCTGCCACAGAGAATTATTGTCATAGTTGAAGGAATGCAAACGGGAGACGTTTTGCCATTAGAGCTTTCTTGCAGAAAGCCCTGAGGGCAAACTTCATCTACGTGCTGAAGGAACAGAAGACAGATCAGTTCCATCTCCCAGTTGGAGGATTTCTCCAAAGGTAACAGCCTGTGCAGAATCGCTGCAATTCTGTTCAGTGACGGGAAGCACATATGTTGATTAAATGCGTATATTCTCCTTTCAAGTAGTTTAAAGTTCATAATACAGATCTGGGTTGGCTGTCATGCAGCAGGCTGCAAAGCACTTCCTCTCCTTCCAGGATTGATCATTATATGAAGACACAGAACTGATCTTCATCTGTCCTCGTTTGAACTTTAAAGGAGTGTAAATATATAAGTTTCTGCGGACTAACTGCAGAAACATACCAACGGCTTTTCCGATCAGGAATCTTCTTCTCTGTCAGGTTTATTGTGAGCTGCTGCTGGATACTACAGTAGCCCTGAGAGCTCAACAAACTGCAGCTTAACAAAACACATGCACATCAATTTAACAACACGTGTGCAGTATTTTGACGAAATGTTGCAAAGTGAGAAAACACAAACAAAAACAGAAAAAGCAGAGGAAACAGATAAAAACACACTTGTTCAAATGGCCATGGTTTGTGACTCACGAAAATTTACGTCCCTGTAAACTGCCTTGAATCCCACTAATCCTCTGCCGTTAATAGCGCTGCACGTTCGTGTTCGTTTGTGCCAAAAATCGACGGAAACGTACCTACACAAGCAGCAGGGGGAGGGGGCGGAGGCGTTAACAACTCTACTTACCATATAACTAGCAGCAGCCGGACCTGGCTTCTCAGTCATTGGATGAAACCAATGACATCATCAAATCATCAATCACAAGTGATTGTTTGGTAGATCTGTCGCTATTGGTCACCCTGGGCCTTTATAAATACAGGCTTGGGTAAACCCCCTTCTAATAATATTAAAGATAATAATAAAAATAATTAATAACCCTGCATTAAATAAATACTGCACTTACTGAAGACTATATTCAGGTGATATATTACTTGTATTCATGCAATTAGCCTACACTAATCAAAGACATGACTTTATGAGGAAAATGAGGAATTCATTAATGAGGCACATGTTGATGCTAATGCAAAAAAACTATTTACAAACCACTTACAAAACATATCAAATGCTGGGCTGCGGGACAAAGTGTCTGTCCACCTCTGAGTCATTTGGTGGTGGCTGTCAGAATATTCTACAGACGCCTGTGATGCAGTGCTTTGTACTTTGGATTAGCCTCCAGCCTTGTCTGCAGCGTGCGAAAAGTTGTTAGTTGCATAATCCACCTCGACACCCCCTCAAAGCTGCAATCTTCCTCATCAGATATCAGATCAATAGTGATGGCTTTCCAGAACGCCACGTCATCTGCTGCCAGTACACTCTGTCTCGCTTCCAACAGCTGTTAACACAAACAGAACAGAAGCAGTACTGCATGGTCACAAGGTAGGTTTTCATTTCATTTTACAGCGTGTTAAAATGAAATGAAGTTTACTATTACAATGCATTCCTATTCTGTAAATCTTACCCCTGCTCAGCATCATGGCGCTTGCAGTTTCTCTCAGAGTTGTGCAGGAGAAGGGCCACTTCCTATGAAATAAGGAAAGACAAAAAGTCACTTTTATGAACTAACTTACACTGATTTTGGCTGGTTTTAGCTTATTACTGACCAAGTCTTCAAACATCTTTTCTTCTTGTTCTTCCTCACTTGAGCAGTTGTTGGATTTAAGAACTGCCAGCCTCTCATCTGTGGTCACATTCAGGCATTCAGTGCAGAGAACTGTTGACTCACATTGGCTTCTGCAAACAATTTTACAGGAGCTCATACCTCTTGTATGTAAAACAAGAGTCGTCAACTCACTCTAATTCTAGTGCTCAGCCTGCGCCCCAACACACACACACCTGGACCTCAATACGTATATCTTCCCTCTACATTAAACCGAAAATTAGCAAAATTGTCCTTTAAACGGGTCAGTTAAAACCTTTAAAAGTCAACATGAAACATAAAAACGAAACAATCAGCAGAAATACAACTTAAACTATTAGAAACTAATAGAAAAATAAACATACTAAATTAAACATTAACTTAGTCAAGCAAATACATTAAAATTCACATACAGGGCCCCATATTTTATTACTTTGTTATACAAAAATAGAAATCAACAGTTCAGTTCTTATATTTAGATGTATACAATCATATTAGAAAGCATCTGTAATTCCATCGAGCAACCACGGCTAAATAAAGCAGCTCATCCAACAGCATACAATGAACTGACAAGATAACATTTTAACAACATTTACACACAAAGAAACACACATAGTTTTACAAGAAACACAGACAGACATGAGCCATGTGTGGGGGGTATAAATCTGCTAAGATGGCTACCTGATAAAAGAGCAGAGTAACATGCTGTTAACGATGTACGACGTCTTTTCTAACTCTGTTATCCAGCGGGCCTAGCATTGCTAGCGTTAGCAACCCCCAACTTAACTTGCCTTCAATCCCAGACATTTGTAAAAGCAAAAAGAGCATTTATACATTCAAAAGCTTGCTGAATTGAGGAAGGGTAAAATAAATCTTACTTTTTTAGTCTGGGAGTATCTTCATCTTCTTCTTCTTCTTGACCATTATCAGCGATTGGCAAACAACGCCCCAGAGCGTCTCATACAGACGCATCCAGGAGTGTCTCCCAAATAACTACGCCACACGTTTTCTGAAAGCGTCACAGGACGCCCTGAGATGAAAACGGGCTTGTTTCTTACAACATGCTCTACTTTTTCTTCTGCCCCACAGTAGTCACAACAGCCTGAGTTATGTTTGCCTATTTTGAATTATGTGCTGTTTAATCCAGTATGTCCAAAGTCTTGATATGATTGTTTGGTCTCTCCTGTTGCATCCTGCACATCTCATTTCTCCAACTATCCTCTGCACTCTGTAGAACCACCATTCTTTCCTCTCTTCCTCCAATTACATTTGCCACGTTTCCTTCATTCTGTTAAGTTACTTGATTTCTGGAGGTGTCACCTCTAACCAGTGGTGGCTTACCTGATTTGCATTTGTATAGCTCCCAGCATTATCATTTACATGTGAAAGCCTCCCCTGGTGAAGGTGTGTAATGGGGGCAACAATGACAAACAAAATCCATGTCAATTCCCGGCAGTTCCGGACAGTTTTCGGTGCTGGCCAGAAATTCGTTTGTGCAGCCATTACCCTGAAATTGCACGTCAAATTAACGTGCCATTAACAGCCAAATATCCCACTTTTAATGCAGTGTTTATTGAAGTTGGTTCAGCTAAAGCGTACAACAACAAGTATGCCCAAGCCATGTTGATTGATCCATTTTTTAGTGTCCCCTGGAAACAAATTCCGCTGTTGTCTGTGCTGCTTACAGCATTTCTGTATTTGGTTGGTTGTTTCTGTATTTTAGCCTGTCTCTGTATTTGCTTGTGTTTTCCCTCTTTGCAGTATTTTAAAAAAATGCTGTGCACGTGTTGTGAAATTGGTTAAGATGTTTTCTTAATTTGCTTGTTTTTGTTTATTTGCATGTGCTTTCTTAAGTTGCAATGCGTTGAGCTCTGAGGGCCGCCGGAAGATACACTCCAGATGGTCTCCGTAAATTAAAAGGAGGCATTATTTTCTCAGGAGGGCTGTCTGAGTTTTAACTACACTTGATGGCATTGTGGCACTGGCGTTGAGAATTTTTTAAACATGAAAGTGTGTTTGTAATGCTGATTTATTTCAGATATTGCTTGAAAGTATCACTTTGCACAATTTAACACACCTGTTACCCCCTCCAGTGTGTATATATTGTATTCTGGATATTGGATTGCAATTAACTGGTCTGCAGTGATCAGAAATGTTTTTTTTTCTTATTTGTAAAGACTGTAAGATATTTTACATCCAGGAACCACACACAACTGCAGAGTAAAGGTCACAAAGCAGCACACAATTCTTGTAGGATTATTGTATTATTACTACTGTATGCATTATAATGCTTTGTAAATTTTCCAAAATGGCAACGCATTAAAGACATCAAACTTATAAAATATCTCCAATTGGAAATAGTGTCCGGAGAACAAGTAATTTTACAGAACAGACTCAAACATCTGTCACGTCCTGGTTTAGATGTATAGAGTAGCAGACAGATTTGGAAGCTAAATATGAAAAGGCTGTTATATGCTTTGGGAAATAGAGACACAGAGTTAGTTTGCAGGATTTACAATACATCGTCCCTTTACACTAGGCCTAAACAATATGCTGAAAAACTGTGCTTCAGAATTGCAGTCTAGTAGTTATTATAGAAATAAATTCTCTTAATATTCCCTCAAAGACAAGTTTGAAATCTTTTCTTGTACTTCTATCTAAGCCAGGACACTTAACTCACTCTGTGAAAGGAATGTGACCTTAGCAACAAAAGATCATTACTGATCTCGGTTTCTAGTGTTAAAATGAACCTGGTAACCAAAGTATTTTAATGTTAATGTTGTCTCCCTAGCCTGTCATTCTCCCAGTATTCATTTTGTTGAATATGAAACTCAAACTGCTCATTCGCAAAGAAACTTTCATTCACACATACATACACATACTTAAATACCATAAAATGTCATTTCTCCAAGTGGTTGTTCTTGACGATTAAATACTATTCCTTTTCAAATTACAAATTTTCCAACCACTTATATGTCAAACCATACAGAATTGTTTTGCCAGCACACAGGTATGTTGGCGTGCATGTTGGCAGATTATGCAGACAGAGTGAAGTGCAGTACATTGCAGAGAAACATGTTTTAAATTGAATGTCAGTTATGTATATTTGACCATAGTTGTTCTTCATTTAAGCATATTTTAGTTCTATTGGTATTTTTGTTCTTACACACAAAGAAACACACATAGTTTTACAAGAAACACAGACAGACATGAGCCATGTGTGGGGGGTATAAATATGCTAAGATGGCTACCTGATAAAAGAGCAGAGTAACATGCTGTTAACGATGTACGACGTCTTTTCTAACTCTGTTATCCAGCGGGCCTAGCATTGCTAGCGTTAGCAACCCCCAACTTAACTTGCCTTCAATCCCAGACATTTGTAAAAGCAAAAAGAGCATTTATACATTCAAAAGCTTGCTGAATTGAGGAAGGGTAAAATAAATCTTACTTTTTTAGTCTGGGAGTATCTTCATCTTCTTCTTCTTCTTGACCATTATCAGCGATTGGCAAACAACGCCCCAGAGCGTCTCATACAGACGCATCCAGGAGTGTCTCCCAAATAACTACGCCACACGTTTTCTGAAAGCGTCACAGGACGCCCTGAGATGAAAACGGGCTTGTTTCTTACAACATGCTCTACTTTTTCTTCTGCCCCACAGTAGTCACAACAGCCTGAGTTATGTTTGCCTATTTTGAATTATGTGCTGTTTAATTCAGTATGTCCAAAGTCTTGATATGATTGTTTGGTCTCTCCTGTTGCATCCTGCACATCTCATTTCTCCAACTATCCTCTGCACTCTGTAGAACCACCGTTCTTTCCTCTCTTCCTCCAATTACATTTGCCACGTTTCCTTCATTCTGTTAAGTTACTTGATTTCTGGAGGTGTCACCTCTAACCAGTGGTGGCTTACCTGATTTGCATTTGTATAGCTCCCAGCATTATCATTTACATGTGAAAGCCTCCCCTGGTGAAGGTGTGTAACGGGGGCAACAATGACAAACAAAATCCATGTCAATTCCCGGCAGTTCCGGACAGTTTTCGGTGCTGGCCAGAAATTCGTTTGTGCAGCCATTACCCTGAAATTGCACGTCAAATTAACGTGCCATTAACAGCCAAATATCTTTTATATAATAATCAATTTTTAGTGAAAATAAGGTTACAATCATCAGCAGTAATAAATAATAAACCCTGCCACAGCAGTGTCACGTGTGTGTGTGTGTATGTATGTCTCCGCAGGAAACTGGCGAAGTCCACCCTTGTGTTAGTACTGGTGTTTGGCATACACTACATCATCTTTGTTGGGATGCCTCATACATTTGAGGGGCCGAGCTGGGAGGTCCGCATGTACTGTGAGCTGTTCTTCAACTCTTTTCAGGTACTTTCTGAGTTCATGTCACTGCTGTGTAACACAATGCACTTTTTACATAAATGTCTTGAAGCTTGTACATCAAGCACTCACAGAAGCATGAGCCAACTCAAGGCAGTTCAGTGAATTATTTTTTTTTTTACACCATTACCATAAACACGCCAGTGCACGCACACATACACACACACACGCATGCGCGCACGCACACACGCACGCACGCACGCACGCACAGAGAAACTTAAAACTGTTTCGTTCGTCATTTCATGGTGTGGGACTAGACAGAACTATATTCTGTAAATGACTTGAGGGGACTGTCAGTGTCACAATCAAGACTGCACTTAATAATTATTCGGGAAAGCGGCCTGATAATGAGATAGATTCTCTGTCGTAATTTGACTGCCTAGATTTAAATGAGCAATTTCAAAGTATGTGTAAGTGTGTGCATGACCTTTTCTAGATGTATTAACTAAATTACAGTCCATACCCAATGAGTGTTTTTTTTACCTCGAAATATGTTGAGTACAGAGTTAGCTATGAGCTATTATAATGAACAGATTTTCAGTGTGACCTTAAATTGTAAGGAAAAAGAATAAATCAGGAGCACTTTCACGGATAAACAAAATAGATGGAGCAAATCAAATTACACTACAGGAGCCAAAATAGTAACACATGCTCTTTAAATGGTGCTCATTTCATGTAAAATTCAATATGGAGAAAACATGTCTACCTTAAATGTCAATTTATTAATATATAATTTCTCAGTCCACAGGAAAAGTTGACTGTAAAAAGTTCACAGTTCTCTTTTGCAGTCTCCATCACATGTCAAGCATTTTGTATTTGATCCGATGTCAGCAGATTACACTCACTGGCCACTTTATTAGGTACACCTGTTCAATTGCTTGTTAGCACAAATAGCTAATTAGCCACTCACGTGTCAGTAACTTAATTAATGTAGACGTGGTCAAGACAACTTGCTGAAGTTCAAACCGAGCATCAGAATGAAAAAAGAGAAAATACCCAGTGAGTGCTAGTTGTGTGGACAAAAATGCCTGTTGATGTCAGAGGACAGAGGAAAAAGAGACTGGTTCCAGATGACAGAAAGGTAATAGTAATTCAAATAACCAATCGTTACAACCAAGGTATGCGGAATACTATCTCTAAATGCACAACACGTCGAACTTTAAAGCAGATAGGCCACAGCAGCAGAAGACCACACCGGGTGCCACTCCTGTCAGCTAAGAGCAAGAAACTGAGGCTACAATTTGCACAGACTCACCAACAGAAGATTGGAAAACGTTCCCTGATTATGAGTCTCTATTTGGCGTAAACAACATGAAAACATGGATCCATCCTGCCTTGTATCAACAGTTCAGGCTGCTGGTGGTGGTGTAATGGTGTTGGGGATTTTTTATTTGCACACTTAGTGTCCCTTAATGGAGCATCGTTTAAACGCGACAGCCTACCTGAGTATTGTTGCTGACCATGTCCATCCCTTTATGACCACCGTGTACCCATCTTCTGATGGCTACTTCCAGCAGGATAATGCACCATGTCACAAAGCTCAAATCATCTCAAACTGGCTTATTGAACATGACAGTGATTCCACAGACACCAGATCTCAATCCATTAGAGCACCTTTGGGATGTGGTGGGATGGGAGATTCGCATCATGGATGTGCAGCTGACAAATCTGCAGCAACTGGGTGATGCTATCATGTCAACATGGACCAAAGTCTCTGCGGAATGTGTCCACCACCTTGTTAAAAGTATACCACGTAGAATTCAGGCAGTTCTGAAGGCAAAAGGGGGTCCAACCCGGTACTAGCAAGATGTACCTAATATAGTGGCTAGTGAGTGTATACTGTAGTTGGCTTACACTCTTTTGTCAAAATTGTAGGCACTTATCAATTTTTTAATTCAGTCTTCACATTCTTGGCAATTTCAGATTTTCCGTTCAACCATTAGTTAAGATAATATGTACTTTACCATGGCCCCATTTCCCAGTAATGATCAGTCTTAAAAGGTTTGAACAAACACACAAAATTGCAAGTGCATTTCTCAAAGCAACCTATAATATCAAGTGTGCTGATTTTGCTGTTTAAAGCACACCTCAATGTTGGCTCTCCATGGTGGTAAAGGGGATGATTAGTTGATTTGAAAATATGTTACATTTGGGTATCTGGAATCTGTGTCAGATATAATATATACATAAAATATTGAACACATATTAAACAAATTACATAAGAGCACCTCACTTAATGATGTAAAGGTGGACTTGCTGTGACTGGTCTTAAAACCTCTCTGAATATCAGTGTGATTAGCAAAAACAACTTAGTGCCACCTGGATTACATTTTATCTGTCCTTATCAGTCCATCAGAGCAAGCAAAATGAGCAGTGGTCTGTCGCACCAAGCAGGAGCAGTGGATTACACAAAGAAAGCTTGAAATTAACCAAAAGAGCCATCATCTTCTTTGAGGAAAAGCTGAGTCACTCTTCATAATGGATCCTAAGATAGTATGGATTAATAGTATCATTCACAAAAACCTGCTGTTCACAAACAGGAGGAGTAACTCAAATTGAATTATTTCATCAAAATAAATATATAGACTAAATGAGATGACTGTAAATAAGTTTTGAAAGACTTATGGAACAGTATACCAGTTTAGCGTGTGTGAAATTTGAGTTTCCTGTCTTGTCAGATGCCTGCAGAAAGATTTATCTTATTAATTAATGATACCAAAATGTGTGACCCATGGATTATTATGTGCAGCAAATACCTTAAATTAGAGACTTCGGTTGGAGTGCATATCATTCTTACTGAAATCTGACAGCAAGAGGTATTTAATAAACCAAAAGAGAACTTCCTCAAGCAATATTATCATATCAGTTTTATTTTATCAGAGTAAAAGACACTCAATAAACACGCAGAAAAGGATTTTGGAGAGGACTGTGCGTGCTTCTTCCAGCAAAAGCCAAAAAAAATGACTGTGCTCACATTTGTGATGGTGGCCAGAGGCACAACAAAAGCACAATTTCATTGCCAAAACAAATGCCAACATTGCACTGCACCACCTGATGTGCCAAAATAATCCGTATCTGCGTCACTCCATCCACCACAGACCACATTATTACCAAACAGTTGCAATTGCAAAAACACGGGATGGGACTTGTGAAAAAGGCCTGGCACCTGTGTGAAAATAACATGGATCTTAACTGTATACAATTAGGTCTATATATTAACTCTATGTGTGTTTTTTATCTACTGTTCTTAGTATGTATTGCTATGACGTCTTATAACTTACATTTAATAAATATGAACCATACTGAACTTGTTTTGTGACACGCTCCCGAGGTTTGTAAAACAGCTCAAATTTAATCAAAAATAGTTGGAATAATTGGAAAGTTGTAGTTGTCCATAGCTTTGCGAATCCACTTTGACTTGGAACCCTAAATCAAATGGAAGAGGACCCACAACAGTGTCCAGTAAGACGATGTACTTTGGGAGGCTGGTGCTCCTGCAAACTTTGAATAGAAAAGGAAGAAGTCAAAACGGATGGAGGGCCAGAAACATGGAATCAAGGCTTTACAACACAAGTAAGACCCAGGTTATGGGAGAGATGTTAATAGAAATAAAATCTAAAGACACTGTACTGCATCACACAATTCAGACTATAGTAGGTTCAGTCAACAGGCGCAGATGAATCTGCTTAGAGATTTGAAGTACTTTGTTAACATATCTAAGCTATATGAACTGAGCATCATTCTGGCACTTCAACTGGGGAAATCTGGACTTTCCAAACACACTTTCCAGTGAGAGCTGCTGGTGGAGATTATAATCACATTGCCTTTCACTAAGCTTGAACCGCATGTCTTCCTCTGCTCCCTCCACACCAACAGAGAAAGGCTTTGAGAACAGTTTCATGTCTTTGTCACTGGCAGCGAGATCTTGAAAGCACTGGTTGAATTCTGTTATCTGTGATGTGAGCACAGTAAGATATTTACTGTGAGACTGGAGATCATTTTCTACATAGATGGGAAGTGTGCAGCATTGCTGTCACTGGTTTGTCTCCCATAAAGTCCAAGCTTCACAGCAAATGATTTTATGTGTGCATACATTTGCGACACAAGCCCACACTTATGTGTTCAGATGGACAGTGAGATCAACTAAAAAAGCAAGGCCTGTCAACCGCTCAGGATTGCTCAGTTCAACGAGACTGTGACCTTTTCCTTTCAAAAAAACTGCAAATTTCACATGCGCTTCAGAACTGTTACACGTCTAAGCCAGCAAAAGCCCGAAACTCCCGCTGATAAAGTGCTCTTTATTGGATGAGATCATGGTACTCATGCTGGGTAGCTCTGGCGAAGAGTGCTTCCTGTGATTGATGTTCACATATTGGAATAGTTCCATCTAGCATTCACAATAGGAACTGAATTTTATTCTGTATCCATGGGGTCAAAAAAAAAAAACAGGATTGCACTCCACCTTTCCGACAACTTTGTGAGGACCAAAATGCTGGGCCCCACGCGTTTAATGGGCTTTTTGAGGGTCAAGACTTGCATTTGGTTTTCAGGTAAAATCAGCCTGTGCGCAGTGATTTTTAATTTTATACTACAGTTATTTGAATCTAGGCAGGTTTTCTTAGACAGCCCTTTTTATACTAATGATTTTACTTTAATCAGTAACCTTTTTTGACAGCTTGTTTTCAATCACTACTTTAATATGAATATTTGGTTGTTTTGTACATTTAAAACTTTACTAGAACCAGTTGGGGAATTACATGAAAATTGAGTAGCGACATTCTTACTATAAGGTGAACTTTTCTGAGGACTGTTCCTCTTTCCAGACTCCACTTGTTATCTTACCATCAATCCATTACTTTCACAAAGACAGTGTTTGTTTCTCCTTTAAATTCTTATTGTAGCAGGAAAGAGGAACACAGGGTGGAACAGGTCAGAGCAGAAACACCCAGAGAGAATTCTGTCTTTTCTTTTTTCAGTACATAAGCACTGTTTGAAGCAAAGAGATAGTTGGTGACCTGGATCATCCGTATCACATTCATTTGGTAGTAGATAGCATTTGCATTGACTTGGCTCCCACTGTGATCTGAGCTCACAACTTGTCTATCTATATCTCTTCTTTTCAGGGTTTCTTTGTGTCCATTATCTATTGCTACTGCAACGGAGAGGTGAGTGGATTGTTGTATTATGCTTTTTGGCTTTTCCCTCTCCTTTATTTAGTTATACCCTTTTTTGTACATGTAATAGGTTTGCAAAGTGAAAAAGCCCAAAGTCCACCCCAAAGTTACAAAGGGACAAATCTCCCACAGAAAACACTGCTCTGAACTGCCTGAAAAACAGCTCGTTTGTAGTCCGCTTTGCCGACGTCACAGCAAAATATGCTAGTCAGGCACGGCCTCAAAAACAACAGTGGAAAAACACTCACAGTGCAAAGACGTCCACCTGCTGCCTCTCATCTCCCTTCCAAACATTAAAACTTTATGGATGAAAGATATTTTTATTACAAAGTATTAGCTCACCACTCTGAAACGCTTGCTCCAGTCCATGATGCTAAGCTGGTAAGGGGATATACAGCTGAACCAAAGCCGTGTTTACCGGCTTCTCACGACCCACCCTACTCTGCTTCTGATTGGGTAGTAGTCCTCACCTAGGACCTTCACATGTGCAACTCCCAACAAAGACTTTATACAAGTATGATGCCTCACTATGTGGATAAAACAAAGCGTTCAACACACAGGTGAAAAGGAGCTGCAGCAATGTGCAGTATGACAAAATATGGTGTTTTTTTGAAAATGAAACCATGTAAACATGTTCTGGTACAACCCCTAAATAGGTTTTTGAACCTGAGCATAATATGACGCTTTTGTTTGGTTTCAAATAACTCATAGACACTGAAAATGGTAGAAGTACTCCAGTGCCAAATATAATGGAGAGTATGGCTGAAATTGAGTGTCTCGCCCTCTGAAATGAAATGTGATGAAAAGTGCTGTCATGATATCATTCTCTTTTTTGTCTCCCTCCCTCCATCAGAACTGCCCCTCCGCCAGTTTTATCTTCACAAAAATCTTGTTTTTCATGCCTTTTCTCTCTTGCTTTTTATGATCCATATTTTTTTTTGTTGGTTGAATCTAATTTTGTTATTAACACTGAGCCAAATGAAATGTAATGTGAAAGGGTCTCAGCCAAGACCTAGGACTAACACCATACTCTATAGCTCTAAGCAGCTCAGAGCTGCTAATGCACTGCTTTAAA